TAATATTTATGGATAGATCTAGGATATATTTAGATAAATATCACATATTTTATTTCATCCAATTTCATGTATATATTTTAGTCGCCCTGGTTAAATTGGGCAATCAAAACATTTTTCATTTGGTCAGATATAGAGCTATATCAAAGTCTGAACATTTCAGGAAACTTAACACACATCATTCTAGACCTAATTCATATCTAAATCTGAACCGATTTTCAGGAAACTTAAAACACATCATTCTAGACCTAATTCAGTACGCTGCACTATAGGTAATTTGCCCTCTTTTGAGGAAAAAATTAATAACAGCGGTGTTAAACGATTTTTTGACTTTTTAAATGATTTATATGCACAAGAAAGAGAAAACGCAGATTTCCACAGTAGAAACCGGATATAACGAACAACGGTTATAAGAAACTACACATATAACGAACAAAGCTAATTCTTTTTCAGATATTTTCATTAGTTTTCTTAAACACAACAAACGGTTGAAAACTATTAGGGTAGTGTGTTAAAAATATTTCGACCCCGCGATCAGATTTTTAAAGGAATAATTATTACAATGTTGTATGTTTTTGCAGAATGCATTAATAACAATTAATTCAGTACCCATTTTTACTCTTTGATGTTATTAATATGTAAAAGTGAGATAAAACCATGTGTACTACAGTCGAACACGATTATAGTAAACCCTGGTTATACTGAACAACATTTTTTCGTATGTACTTTTCTATTTTTAATCAATGCTGAAAAAATCAATTTTTGGTGGTTTATATTCCAAGGGAAACCCAAGCCCGCCATTTCCTCTTTTGCACTTTTAAGATTTTTTCTCATAATCTTTACTTCAACAACCTATTTGCGGTTTACGAGTCTTGTTATTTATTTTGTAATCAAAATTCGAGTGCATTCGTTTTTTTTCGCGGAAAAGTTCTATCTTCCTATGACATTTGGTCCATTTTGACAAATGCATGCAAAATTACCTAATTTCCTTTTTTAAGTTGACGCATTTTTCGTCCATATTGCTGTTATTGCCAACTTTACGTGCGGGGACGTTGTAAATAACAATATGTTTATTTGCTTTTATTTCTTTCATCAAACCAAATATCGAAAATTTTATTGTTCTTTATTCTGAAGATCTCTACAAAAAACGGATATATCTTGAAAAACGCAAAAAAATCGCAATTTGAGACGTATTGGAATCGATTTAGGAGGCTTTCAATTATATATTACAGTTGTCAAAAGATCAGACAAATTTAAACATTTTAGTAAAAGTCTATCTAAAATGACTTATGCGTAAAAAATGAACACATTTATTTTATTATAGTCAACTATGTAAAATTTGAATCGCTACACAAACGTATCAACAAATATTATATATTAAATAAACAGCACACACCACCGCCAATACTCTCCATGTTTATATTTTATGTTTATGATTTGTATTAAGCGGTTTCAAACGTTTTAAAATAAGCATTAATTTTTAAATTTTTTTTTATTTCTTTAATTTTATTTTCAAAGTGTAGAGTTTGGCAACGATTTCCACCGCTTTAAAGACACTTTTAGGCAAAAAATCTTACAGAATCATAAATTTTGAGATGTTTTCTTTTTATTGCCACCAAAAAATATATTATTTTCTGAAATTGAAAAAATTACTTTTTGCCTAAAAACTGTCCAAATTACCTATAGTGCGCTGTGCCAAATTTCGTGAAAATTGAAAGATATATGGCACTTTGGTGCACCATTTAAATTTAAAAGGACGAAAATATATTTGAGAGCTATATCTAAATCTGAACCGATTTTTGTAATTAAAGAAAAGTCCTTATTTTTGATGGCGGGCATGATAACTCCTCACTGGAACATCGGAATCCGAAAATTCCAACGGTGTTAGAAAGAGTACATGTCTGGCTCTCGTATGAACTAGGATTATTGACTTCGCTCTAAAATTAACAAAATGGTGGAACTTTGACAAAATATTTTTGGGAAATCGCCGATTTTTTACCAAAAACCAAGTTAAAAAATAAGGAAGATCTTCACCGATTGGCTTTATCCTAGTTCATACGAGAGCTATACACTCCCAGAGAAACGTTGCAAAATTTGGAACTGTTTGGATTATTAGTTTTTGAGTTATCGTGCCCGCCATTCGCAAAAAAATGTTAAGAGAAAAACGCGTTTAAAGTTTGAGAAGCCCTTCAGCCGTCACTTTATGCTGACACAATAAATCGGCTATATCTTCAAGAGTTCTTGAGATTTTCACTTGAAATTTTGTAGAGACATTCTTTAATCAGTGTAGATTCGAATTATATCAACAAAAATTTTGACCCCGAGAATGGGGGGGCCCCTTAAATCGATTTATATAATTTTGTACCATTGTACAAAAACGACCCACCCTAATGAAATGGAATTTTGTATAGGTTGCCGAAGACATATGGGAAATTACAAAAATCTTTTGAATTCCTTGAAACTCAAGTTTGCAAGCTTATAACTCGCGAAATATGAACACATTGCATATTATTTAAATTCATTTCTATAAAATGAAATGTTCTTGTCAAAGATATTAAAAAAATCTTAAAATATTGGTAAAAAATAATAAGTTGGGTTGAAGATGTGATGGTGGTAATGTAAAAAAGTGCGTGAAAATGTGTTTAAGCCAATGAGTTTTTTGTTGTGCTTGTTCCTGATTTGCAGAATACCCCATGGACAAAATGGTTTTAATATATGATTTTTCGATATAATCTCTGCATCCACCCAAAACGGATGCTGACATTTTGAAGCCGGATTTTCGGTGTTTTTTGAATTTTTGTTATAATCAGGACGAGCATCAAGATAATGGACTGATTATATGATTGTGGAACTCGTGATTTTGCTTCGTTTGGTGTATATCCCATGAATGTGATCACCTTAGCTTCTTTGCAATTGCATTCCAAAGACGAAAATTTGGTGCGAACATTTTTATAAAAAACATAATTTTTTAAATCTAAATTTAAGAAAGTCCACTCAAATGGCGTGAAACCCCGCGTGATTTTAGTTTTTTTACGTGCCGGATCTAATGAGCCCAGCCATGTTCAATTCCGACGAATAAAACGGCGGATATAGGTACCTTATATGCTTGTATTATCATATTCGCGAATCTGTAATCATCTAAAGAATTTGCAGAAGAAAGCGTCGTATATTTTAGAAGATTAAGGCAAAACACAATTCCCTTAATTGCAACAAAAAATCGAGAATTCAAATAAACGTTTTGTCTTTATTAAAAAAAAAAATAATTTATTTTATTTTCAGATGTCTTCATGCTTCTATTTGTTTTCGCGACTATTATACCGTATTTTAATGTGATTTGGCAAGTATGCAAAGAAAGCAAATGTGTTTATCGATTTGTGAAGAAAGTCGCGAATTACAACAAATAGAAATTCATTTAATTTATATTTGAAATACAAGATTTAAAATTGCTATAACTTTTGTGCGCAGCATCCGAATTTGTGAACGCGAACAGATTTCGAATCAGCATATTTTTCTTAACCTATGTACATGTATTTTAAAATTTCAATGGAATTTTAAAATAATTTTGTAATTTCCCATATGTATGGATTGATTTAAGTTGATTTACATATAAATACTGATCTCATATTTAATTTAGTTCAATTTCATGTCAAAAGTCCTTCAAAAATGCCATAAATGGTATCATATAGTCGACCCTGTCCGACTGTACTACTTTCTTTACTGGTTTATATTGAGACTACCCCCAAAAGGGACCGAATATAAACAATTTTTGGAAAGGAGATTTGTTACCAAGTACGACTACAAAATAACAAATTACATTCGAATTCGAAATTTACGCTTATCAAGAATATATACTTTATAGTGTCGGAAATAATTATTTCGATGAGTTACAAAGGGGAAAACAAACTTAATATAGCCTTCATACTATGATAGAGGGTATAAACATAACAGGGTCAAGTGTTCCTTACAATGAAATACACTCGATTCAAAATGAGAAATCTACATTTAATAACGTAAAATGGAAAATTGTTCATAAATTTGTGTGACCAAATACTTTCATATGATTTCGTATATTCAATTAGATTATATGTTATTTCAAAAACAGATAATTTCTGTATTATATCACATTCTTGTTAATAATAAAACCTTTGATTTAAAAATACAAACTTAAAAGCTACTTTCAATGAACATAACAAAACACAGAGTCTTAAAGTGTGTTAAAAATTCCTTATGTAAAATTATCTGTTCCTATTGGACGTTTTTCCTATAAACATGTCTGTTTCAATATATTAGGCACGCAAATCTCTACAAAATCAGATGAAATATACACTAGATGTCAGTCTAGTAATAAACTATAAATAAAACTACAAGGATAACGCCTATATATGGTATAAGAGCATGTTCGAAAGTTACCATTTGTACTAAATTGCACATTTGTCGAGTATTATAAACAAATTTCGCCAATGGTGCTTTCACCGGTATTAATAGTGAAAAGCTTTAAATTCAAAAGCTTTTTGTGCCATCCAGATATCCTGTGGAACACACATTATACATCAAAAGTTTCGTATATATCCTAAAGCATGTTAATATTAAAGAACTTACCTTAGCTTCGTATAGTTTGTCAAAGTTACACTCGTAATACCAAAATCTATACAAAAATATCATAACCAATTCTCTTTAAAATCAACCACAAGCCCAATTCACATAAAAATATGACTTCACTCCTTTCAGTCATAATTCAATAACAACAACAAATGATCTTAAAATAACATTTCAATTTATTTTCAAAATAAATGTAAATATGGTTGTAAAAAACAATTTTTCTTTTATTTCTAATATGAAATCTCTAAGACATTTCTTTCGTTTGGAACATATTGGTGATCTTAAAATTTTCTACAAGAAAAAAATTAACATAAGGAAATGCACGTCTGGTTCAAACTATAATTTTTATATTTTTTCGAACACTTTATAAGCGGATTGACAACTTAATCATATGTGTGTATTTCTTCTACGAAGAATTTACTTAAGAGCAGCAACAGCTTTTTGGGCAGCATCATCCAAATCTGTGGCAGTTTGTATAGCCAAACCAGAATTTTTCAAAATTTTGCGAGCTTCATCAACATTGGTACCTTCCAGACGTACAACCAAGGGAACATTCAAATTCAATTTCTTGGAAGCAGCCACAACACCATTGGCAATTGTTGCACAATTGACAATACCACCGAAAACATTCACCAAAATGCCTTTAACTTTAGGATCTGAGGTTAAGATTTCGAAGGCTTTCAAGACTTGATCTTCCTTGACACCGCCGCCAACATCAAGGAAATTAGCTGGGTCACCACCATTCAATTTGATGATATCCATGGTGGCCATAGCTAGACCAGCACCATTTACCAAACAACCAATGTTACCATCCATGGCAACATAGTTGAGATTGTGTTTGGCTGCCTCAATTTCGCGAGGATCAGATTCCTCCTCACTTATGTCCATGGCAAAAATTTCCTTTTGTCTATACTGGGCATTATCGTCAAAATTAAGCTTGGCATCTACGGAGATAACCTCACCGTTATCAGTCTCAGCTAGGGGATTAATTTCAATTTGTACTGCATCAACAGCCTTAAATAGTGTATAGAGTTTTTGTATTTCCTGAGCACATGTTTCAATGCATTTTCCTTTGAATTCTAAGAATTTTGCAACTTTTTCTAAAGTTTCCTGAGCGATGGGCTTATCAATGTCCAAAGGAATTGTAAGAATTTTCTCGGGAGTTTCTTCGGCGACAGCTTCAATATCAACACCACCAGCTGGGGAAGCAATGAGCACGGGACCATTGTGTTCACGATCCAATAAAATGCAAAGATATGTTTCACGTACAATATTAACACTGCGTGCAACCATGACCTTCTTGACCGTAATACCAGATTTGGGCGTTTGTTTGGTAATTAAACGATTACCAATCATTTTCTTTGTCAAATCGAGAACTTCATCTTTTCTGAAAGGAAGAAGAAGAAATAAATACATAAATATTTTGAATTAGTTTTTAATAAAATTTTAAAAAAAAATTTTAGTTAATAAATTAATTTCTTTAACTGAAAAAATAAATACATATATGGAACGAACTAATTTTATGAAAGGTTTACAATTCCGTACCATATTTTAAAAACGATGTCTAATCGCCATAAAAACTTAAGCGGAAATCTTCCAATTTGCGTGAAGTAAAACAACATGCCAATAAAATAGAAGTCGGATCATATCCCGCATGAAAGAAATATGAAGATATCCTTTGGCAAAAATGAACAAGGGATATGAGGCAGGCTCTGAATATGAGGGTTAATTTCGATATAATTCCGACCAATATTTGGGTAATGCTGAACGATTGCTTCGTTCTCTGATTATTTAAATCCAAACCGCTAAATACTCCATGACTATAGAAATTACAACCAATAGTAGACGGATAGGTAAGCCACATACAATTATTGATTTAACGGCCCTGCAAAGACCAGCCATCGAGCCACAGTAGTTTATGGATACCTTCTGAAGAATCAAAATATAACGGGATTAAATAAAAGTTTATTGAGGCGTTCTTGAGAATCGAAAAATATTGAAAGTTTTCCGGATTACTTTAACAAAACAAATACAGAAACATTCTTTAAACAAAAGAAAATTCACCGAAATATTATCTTTGTTGTTTTTGTTCTTTCAGCGGAAGATGTCTAAAGTTCAGTAGACATAGATAACAAACCAAAATTAAAATATATTTTACTCTGATTCAGCAATACAATGACGATTAACACATCCATTATGGCAGCAACTTTATCAGAATGTTTACTTGCCAATGGCTATCGGAAAATTTTCATTCAGATTACATTAAAATATGTTCAGCAGGGGTTATTTTCCTATTTGTTACAAAGAAGATACCTGCATTAGTGTTTTTAATTTTTCCTACAAGAATAGATCCCTTAAGGATGTGAAACAACAGATCATTGCTTTCCTTATTCGGTGTGGGAAAATTTAATAGTATCCCGAACTTCTAACACATTCAATTTATCCCTGAACAAAGAGTTCAGATCCGAAATCACTAGATACATCCTACCACAGATTTTTGTATACACCTATTATCAGAAAACAATTTGATTAACAACATTACACATGCAATATACTTACTTTGTGGTTATGTGTACACCGCCTTTGAAACCATTATCGAAAGTACCCTTGCCACGACCACCAGCCAAAATTTGGGCCTTAACAACATATTCAGGGCATTCTAAGAAAAATATTTAAAATGTAATAAATTTTTTTTAAATTCACGTATCTATTATAAATTCACATCACATACCAAATTGCTTCAAGACATCAGCATCTTTGCCTGAGTTATCCAACACCTTAAATTGTTGTATGGCCACATTGTATTTCTGTAGCAAGTCTTTACTTTGGAACTCCAATAAATTCAAATGACGAACCTGTTGCAGGGCTGTGATCTACATAATTTTGTTAATAAACATGAATATTTTTATATTCCATATGTTAATAGTAAAACATATAATAATAAAAATAATAACTAACCTTTTTGTTGAGTGTATTACGCAGGGTATGGGCAGCAATGTTAATCATGTTTATTTTGTTATTGTTGTACTACAAATGTTGTCAATCAGATACTCCGTATTTTGTTTTTTGCAAGTTATTGATAATCTGTTTTATTAACAATAACTCTATGCAAAAAGAACTTTGAACTCTTTTAATGGAAAAGAAAAAAAAAGTCGGCTCAACTTGTTATCATCAGCCGGTCTCAACAGATTATGCATACATATGTTTACTCGATTTTTATTGGTGTAATCGATTAATATATTTTAGGTTCGATAATAACGGACAATTGTAGGCGAATAGCTTCAAACGGTCAATTTGAATAAAAAACTTGTAGAAAATACATTTACCATCAAAAAATTCAAAGAGATCCGATTGAGATGTCAGTGCTGATAGAAAAAATTTCAGCCACGGAGCTACAATCGTGTGGTTGTTTCCCGTACACAAAAATTGGGAAAATATCGAAAGTTCAATTATTAGAGGAAGTTTAATCTAACAGAGCAAAAGTTAATCAGTAAGGAAATTAGTAAAGTTGGAGTAAGTACTTTATTTGGTGCACTATTTACCTAAAATCGGACGAAAATATATATGGTAGTTACATCTAAATCTGAACCAATTCAACGAAACTTACCAGAGATTAACTTTATATTAACTTCAGTACATTGTGTGTGTCAATTGGACTAACTTAAGTGCACTATTTACATAAAATCGGAAAAAATATATATGGGAACTATAACTAAATCTGAACAGATTTTCACGAAACTTAGCACATATCGTTCTAGACTTAATTCAATCGAAAGATATATATATATAGGGACTTTTTTGTACCATTTACAGTAAATGTTTCATAGACCTCTTTCCAAACTTTCCAAGAAAAAATCGAAAAGTTGCTTTAGTTTTGGCCAAGCAGAAACTGGGTCAATATAGAATATTTTTTATTTCAAATCAAATTTTGCATTTATATACTTTTTTTTAATGAATAAACTACCTATTTATTTTTGAAAAAAACTTTCACTATAACTTTATTTTCAAAAAAAGTAGCAGGTCATTTATTCAAATTACAATTTCAGTTGCTTTAGTTTTGGCCACAAGTATATATCATCAATAATCACATATCATTCCCATGATCACATAATCATTCGCAAACACTATGACCTCTATGCCGCCAGGTGGATTTTGATCAGATCCGAAATTTCCTTGGGGAAACTCCCTGATTAACTTCCCGCATCGCGTCTTCGATTTCCTATACCTTTCCTATTTCCTATTTTTGTTTCTCAAGAGAGAAAATTGCTAAAAGTAACCGAACAACATCCAGTAAAGAAATTGTATCGACACAACAAACCCTTTATTAGAATATATCAGTCTGGCCACACTTTAAAAATATGTGTGTTCCCGTACACAAAAATTAACAGACACTTTGAAATACTTTAGATTTTCTCTGGAAAACGAATATTTAACAGCTGCGTATAATTTGTGCTCGATAGTGTATACACTACTTAAGGAGTAACTACATCTGCCGCCGTTGTTTTACTAGAGTCCCCGCCCCTGTAAACATTTATCGATTTTCTTCCACCGATGTTTCATATTAGTCGATAAATCTTCTAGTTGACAGTCGACAGAATCTCGACGCATAGAAAATTATGTTTATTTTAGTATGTGTTTTAATTAATTAGACAATAACAAACAAATTTAGATAGGTCATAATCGCACACTTGCACCCACCATGAATGAAACAAACGAAACTAAAATGGAACCCAACTACATATTTGACGATGTACCTCGAATTTCTCCACTAATAACGGTCAGCTGCTGTCTGGCCATGTCCGTGCTATATGTGTCCAGTTTATATATATGGAACAATAAACATAATCGTGATCATCCAGCAACGGTCAAGCGGCGTTTCCTCAGTGTTACGGTGGTGATGCTAATCACTCCCATATTTGTATATAAATTTTCGTCCAAGGAACTATTAGAGAAGATACCATTTTATGAGTTGTTGGGTTTGAGGTGGCATGGTCTACTCATGGCCATTGTTATACCTTATCTGTTGACAATGTTGTTGTTTTTGGGGCCATTGTGTGTGGAATTGCAAAACGATACAATGAAAGTGTTTATGGGTAAGTGTGAGGGAGGATGTGGTACATAATGGAATGAGTATTTAAAATTTGTTCTTCTTTTTTTAGATATCAATTTCTGGAAAAGTTCCTTTAAAAATATCCTGTGGATACGTAATCACATAATGGCTCCATTAAGTGAAGAATTTGTATTTCGTGCCTGCATGATGCCACTAATCTTACAAAGTTTTTCGCCCGTCACAGCTGTGTTCATTACACCATTATTTTTTGGTGTTGCTCATGTTCATCACATAGTCGAGAGATTAAGTATGGGCATGGAATTTACAACAGCTTTAATTATCTCAAGTAAGTTGTAGGGGCAAACTATAACCTTAACCTATGATATACAATATTTTAATTGCCATAAGATCGTGACCTTTTGGGGTAAATTAGAGATTTGTAATACGAAACCAACGGATTTTCTATCTGTGAAATAGAAACTGAAATTTGTTTTGTTTTTTCTTTCTTTTCAGTATCCCAACTAACCTATACCACCCTCTTTGGTTTCTACTCTGCCTATCTTTTCCTGCGTACAGGACATTTTGTGGCCCCCTTTTTGGTACATGCCTTCTGTAATCATATGGGATTGCCAGATATACAAGAACTCTGGCAACAACACCTATGGAAACGTATTATTTTAATCGTATGCTATTTTGTTGGTTTCATTGCGTGGATATTTGTCTTACCCATTGCAACACAACCAACTCTGTATGCCAACAATATCTTCTGGCCTTACTAGCTGTCCTCGGTAGCACACAATTAATTAGCCATAAAGACTGTTTTATATTTGCAAATGCAAGGACAATGGTGAAGCAAACAAAGTCTTCAGCTAACTACATAGAATATTAAGTTTAAAATTACAGTAATAATTTACTAATTTTAAATTATTAGTTTTATTACTAACAATATTTAGTTAATCTTAATCCATTTATTTTGTAAAAAATAATAGTCTCACATGTTTGTTTATTTTTTAACTGAATGTACCCTTGTGTGTTTGTGTTTTATTTTACATATTTATTCGCCTTTCAATGTGGATTCCAGTTCATTGTTGGCCTTCATTTCTTTAATGATGTCCAGACCTCCAACAAGTTCACCTTTGACATATACTTGAGGATAGGTGGGCCAATCGGAATATGTTTTAAGACCTTGGCGGACTTCTTCGTCGGTTAAAATGTCGAATGTTTCATAGGGAAGTCTGAAAGAAGTAAAATAAAAGTGTCATTAAATAAATATCGATTAGGGGTAATTTTGTAAAAAAATATATTTTTCTTGTTGAAGAATATGTCGTGGTGGTGGTAAGTAATGCCTCCCACAGAATACGAAAACAGTTGCCAGGCTCAATATTTTTATACTCTTCACCTCGATGTGAACATTAAAAATTGTAAATAGATCAGAACATTCATATGTTGACTTATAATGGACCTATACATAATAAATTTCTTATCTGAATCACTTTTATTCTACTTACGCATAACAAGTAGTTAGATTGAAAATTTTGCTGGATCTTCAAAATAAGGAAAACCCAAAAACGTGGGCTATTTATTGCAAAAAAAATGCCTAATAAAAGCCACTATGGCTACTGCATATGGAGGACATATCAAAATATGGTCATATATTTACCAATTATTTTATTGCGATCAAGAATATGCTCTGCTTTAGAACCTGCAAGAATCTTCTATTCTTCGAAAGTTATGTATTTTATGAATTTCAAAAGTGCTACCACTTTTTGAGTACGGGTAACGAAAAGTCAAATTTAATATTGAATCCAGCTTTCATGGAAGGTATAAAATTGGAATGAATTTGCAATGTTCCAGTTTATAGAAATACTAATTTCCACAGTGGTCGATCCGACCTAAGGAACACGGAAATAATTTCTTTACAATGACCTCCTTGGTCGTGTGGAATTGAAGTTGTATTAGAAAAAATGGTAATCAATATTGTTTAAATTTAGACCAAAGGTCAATTAGACACTACTGATTATGTATACGAAACATATTGTTGTTTTTCTTGCATGAGGGCAAAATGATTGTACCGATTCAGCCAATCATTATTTGTTAATGCTTTAACACGTTCTTGCGGTGAGAAAATTTAATTTTCCGCAACATTCATATTTTTTTCAAGAACTGTTTTATAGAGTGTATTTTTCTTTTTTGGAACTGAAAATTAGTTGGTTTAAGCTTGGCTTCTTATTTATGACAAAAGAACAAAGTATATTTGATCAATATACTTATGGACCATTTAGTAATCTAAAACATAGTTCAGTTAACTTTTTCCAGACATACCCAGTTTCATTGATTATAGCTATCAGTTGTTTGGAGAAGCCACAACGGGGAGCATTACGATCACCCTTCATGAAAATCATCAATGGGGCTTTATTAATCAGGGCCTTCAACCGTTCCTCCAGAGGCTGATCACTTGTAGCGGATGCACCCAATTGTTTACATTTTGCACTAAGCGATGGTATATCTACGCCATCAACACGATCTACTGCGGTACCTTTGGTGAAAAATATTACAGTGGGTACTGCCTCAATCTACATAATTACAAAAAAATCACACATATTAACATTTTATAGATTCTTTACCATATTACACATTTACATACCTGATGTTTCATCGCAACTTCAGGATATTCTTCGGCGGTAATTGTTATAAATTGTAATTTATCTCCCAATAATTTGCTCAAATCTTCTAGTACATCCAAAACCTGTTTGCATTGTTCTGCCCATTCTGCCGAAAATAATACCACTGATGTCTTGTCGGCACTGTGGAGTATTTTTTTTTTTCAAAACCATTCAAAAGATAAAATTGTCATTAATGATTATTTCATCATTTCCGATTGCCAAATAAACATACCCAATCAGTTGTTTGTACTCTTCTTCAGATTTAATTACAGTTACCGGCATATTGAGTTTTATATTTTTTTTATATTTGCAGAGTTTTTAATTTTTATATATATAATTTATTGTTTTGCAAATGAGTGTGTGGATGGTTCGTGATATTTCTTTGGATGGGTCAAATGCAAATGTCAAAACATTTTAGGTTAGAATATTACAGGGTTGCCAATGCACATTATTATTGGGTTGATTTTGATATTAAAAATTATGGGGAAATGTCTATCTTGTCTGGTCCAGGACTGAAAAAATTTACTATGTAATAATTATAATTATTACAAGGTAGGGCATAGCTACCATATGATTAATTTTTTTCCCAAAATACACAGTTTATGTATGTGTGTTTGTTGCTTTGAATACCACATAAAATAAATTTATGTATTCAAATTTAATTGAAATGATAATTATTTTTGTGGATTTCGTGCAGAAATAATAACTTTGTTATGCATTTCATGGTATTCCCTAGTGGATTTTGGAAAATTCATAAATTCAATTTCACTAATTTTTGTTTTGTGTTGAAAATATGTCAAACACCACTTGTTGCGTATGTTTTTTATTCACCTCAAGCTGCTCTTTCTTGTATTATTGTAAGCTCTCATTTAATCCTTAGATATCTTCCGTGTTAAACTGGGTCAACCATATACTAAGAAATACATATATGTGTAAGCTGCCACCTATCAGGAGAAAAGTAGGGATTAGGGATACCGTAAAAAGAAATTCTATCATCACACCTGAAGGATGCTAAAACCCGACTATTGAGGAACTTAACCGAGGGGTGTTTGGAACTGGTCTGTTATGCAGACGACATTATAATACATCCTATGATGCCGCCTATAGGGGGCAGAGCTGAATGCTATCGGTCGTGTCCATATATTGCGGATTATGGAATTTCCATTCATTGAGTAGTTGAGAATCAAATAGACAGTTACGAATAATCAGCCATTGGTGGGTGCCTTAACAAAATGTGCCGGACACTGGTGCTGATGACTTCATCCTCATTAGGGGAAAAATTAAGGGGAACCTAAAAATTCATTCGGAAAATCCAATGGCACTGCGATGCATTTCTTAATAGAAAAAAATCCGACGCCGCGTGTGAAGACGGCCTCATTTACCCCTTGAATGGAGGAAAAGTCTGTAAAGCGGAAACCCCAAAAGGGGCTCCTGAAGTCCTGCAAGTGGCAATCATTGATCGAACTGACCATGATGATCAATATTGGCCCACGCTTGGTATAGCCTCCATATAGCGGTAGCCCACTTGTCAGTATTTTAAATGTTGCTGACGTATTCGTCGGTATTGTGAAGGTCATATCCCAAGTTTAATATTTTAGTATCTGCAGTTTGGTATTTACATTTTCTACAGGCGATTCTGACCAGTATATAGAAAGTTCTGTACTTATCAAGACATAATAAGGAACCCCACTTGTCAATATCTTCAATGTTGCAGATCTATTCGTCGGTATTGTTAAGGTCATAGCCCAATTTTAGAATCTTAATGTATGTTGTTTGTTATATACAGAACTGTATAAGGTCCATTAAACATACCGTGTAAGAAGCGAAATTCATGTCCCTCGTTTGACAGGTCCTCAAGATATTCAGTGGCTCCTTTAAATGTTATAAGAAAGCTCTACTTGAATATGCTAATTTGTATAGATTTTTATGCATATTCTTTTGTATTACTTGCCAAGCTGATATTTTTATATTTTTTGTTTTTTGGAAGATTCTATGTTAAGATAAGTCTTAGGTTTAAATTTCATGAGTAGTAGATGTATAGTTGAAAGCATTTGACAGCTGTGAAATTATCTGGCCTTATCGGACAAGGCCACGGAACTGTATTTTTCTTTCGTTGGCAAACCATTTCCTTCCATTTTACAACACTACTTTAATTGACCCATTATTCAGAATTTCCCCAATTCACCGAATTTCCCATTTTTCTTTTCTCAGTGAAGAAATTATTTTTTCTGACTTGGCAATCAGTTGTGTTTATTGCC